TTGGAGTCCTGAATGGTTAAGGAGTTGGTTGAATTCCAGAATTATGCGTGAGATAGGACTCTTGTGGGAGTTAAGATTCCTAATTGCGTAGGAATTCAAAAGGGTGAACAATTGTCAGCAGTAAGGAGAAGCACATTCCCGAGGACTATGCCCGAGGACACATGTTTGCAATATGCGAAGCGTCATGGAGATGTGGTCGGGCCTTGTGTCTCGAGGACGAACATGCTCGAGGACACCACAGATGGATTTACAACTTTACCAAAATTAGTCCTCGGGATATACTGATCGGGGATATTGTAAAATGTCACCATTAGGTACCATTGCTAAGCCCAATTGGCATACTGATGTATGAAAAGGAGATGACTGCTTATTTTTCCTAGTCTCAAAAATCTAACCCAATCTTATGGTAAACTGCCCTCCTAGTTTCAACGTGTGATGGTGATTAGACCTCTAGATATGTGGACCTGAATCGTGTGGATTAGCTATTTTAGGTGGGACTGGAGTGCGTAGGTTCGAAACATTACCTTGTTTGGATCGATTGAAAAGAAAAATCCTCTAAACTTTGACCGGGGAGATTTTCTAAGAAACGTATACTTTCTATATATATATATAATAATTACTTTCTATAAGTACACATTTATGTTGTGTTCTCAAATGAGATTTCATGAATTTGAATATATTTTCATAAAATTATAAGAACCTTAGTAAAAATGATAAGATTTCGAAAGATTATGTTATTTGTATCTTAAACTTGAAATTAATTCACATCTTTTAGAATATTTCTAGTAATGACATCCTTATAAATCCATGAGATATTAAGGATACGTAAATTTTTGGGGACAACTAAATTTAGAAGATTTTTAAAATCAATCAAAATTTCAATCGACGACATTAAAAAGCTATAAAAGGAAAAACCCAATAGTAATTACACAGTTAACATAGTAACCAAATAATTCCTCGTTTTATAAATAACTATAAAAGGAAAATTTAATTTACAAAATTATAAACTAATTCTCATTTATGATATTTAGGCCGAAAAATAAGTATTTAAAGGTAGATACGGAGCTAAAGTTTTCGTTCAATCTCACAAACAAGAATGTCTCCCTTACGAGCATATCTATTCATTGGACTTCTTTTTGCATCGCATTGCTCCTTTCTTCACATGAAAAAATGTTTAGGTAAATTTATATTCCATTTTCCTTATTCATTTCCCATTTTCCCAAGTATTATAATTAATTAGCAATTTTATTTTAAATTTTTCTGAATTTTCAGTTGCAGGGTTCGAAGGCTCCGATGGAGTTAATGACTATGTTGTTATAGGACGTTGTAGGTCGGATGAAGAGTGCATCAAGTTTTGCAAAGCAGATGGTTATGGTTGGGGCAGGTGTACAATTCCAGATACTCCCTTTGGACCTCAACTTTGTCTATGCAAGACTGGAGCTTGAATTGCATTTCAGAGTTTTGATTAATAAGGAATTTTGGGATGTCAATTATTTTATGAAATAATAAAAAGAAGGGAGAAAAAAAAACTTAGTCTCTCAAAGTCTTTCTACGCATTCTTAATTGATTGATTGGATGATCGTATGTTTAATACATATTAGTTGTTAGCATTGAGTTATATTTCTTAAAATCGACACATTTGTCTAAGTTTGATGATTTAATTGACATATGAAAAAGTAAGCGACCCCAAAGAGTTATATTACATTATAAGTTGACCAATTGATTAACCTCTCGATAAATTTTTATCTTCATTATAACATTTAATTGAATTTTTTTAAAATTGGAAATCATTGTAATATTTAAATATGGGAAGTATAAACAAGAAATTGCCCGAAAATATATTGATAGCGACTTTACCCTAACGCTCTTAGGTTCTTAACACTTCGCCACTGAATTTCTAATATTTTGCTTCTCGTGTAGTAAGAGCATTGATATTTAGATATAGTTGTTGGTTGACAACTCTTCAAAAAATTGTAATTTGGCCGTCCTTCCAATTATAGAGTTGTGACTCATGATGTAATATAATACATTACATAGACCTTTAAATGGAATTTAGTACGAAAATTACTCGTTCGGGTCAAGAATTTTGATCTTGTTGAATTTTGAACAATTGAACAGATTATTCAATAGCATTCTAAACATGCCACAACAAATTAAATAGGCACCACTGCAAAGCCCGTTTGGCATATTGTAGTAAGAAAAAGGAGAAAATTGAGTATTTTTCCTAGTCCCATAATCCAACTTGATCTTGTGGTAGACTGCCATCCTAAGAGACACTTGCCAACTAACTCGAGGAGCATGATATCTCGCTCCCACTAACAAAAAAGCTCAAATCACGAAAAAGGGAGCAAACAAAAATGCCAGCAGAATGGTTCAGTTTCGAGCTCGACAATTTCAACTGTGTGATGATGATTGGACCTTTGGATATGTAGACCTAAATCGTGTGTGTTAGCTATTTTGGGTGGAACTAGTGTAGGCAAGTCCAAAATATTGCCTTGTTTGGATCGACTAAATAATCCTCTAAACTAGCTTAGAAGATTTTCTAAGAATGTGTACTTTTTCTTTCTAAATCGGATAAAAATAAAGTTGAAATGATGTAACAGACAAGATGCTAAACATGGCCATGTACTTGATTCGAATAGAATCCAAATTTAGCAATGGTTTTATTTTAGATTCCTTGAATTTCATCATATGAATCTATCCTATTGAGAAGACGCTTTTTAAATGAATAAAATGATTTTAATAACATTTCTATCTAAAAAAATACTTATAGGGGAGTCCTCAACTAAGGAGGATCTCCTCAATAAAGATTGTGATGGATTTCAAAGATTGTTCTAAATTTAGGTGTTCTCAATCGAGATTTTAATGGATTTTAGTACAATCTATTAAAATTTAGGTGTTTTTAATTAGGGTGTATTTGATTACATTTATTTTTCATCGAAAATATCAGTTTTCCACTCAAATTCTTACTTGAGATGTTTGATTGTTAATTTTTTCCATGGAAAACATTTTCCAACTTTTGAAAATATGCCTAATTTTTTTTTTGTTTTTAAGGAAAACATTTTCCTTTGGTGGAGGTGGTTTTTATTTTCCACAAAAGATGGAAAATAAAGAGCAAAAATGTCAAAAAATGAAAGGTAGGGACGTTTTCCACAATAGACTTGAAAGGTAGGGACGTTTTGTGCCAATTACCCTATTTATAATTATTAGAATTTATCTTATGAAAGAGTGGAATGTTAAAATAACGGTACCTAAGATCAGAGGGTGGAATGTTAAAAATGTATTCTCTGATTTCAATGTCAAACAATTGAACTTAAAAATTCAAATGTGCTAAGAATTAGGGCTAGAATAAATTCTTGAACCGAACTTATCGAGTCGGACCCGAACCAAATTGAACCGAATTGTATCGAACAATTTTTCTTAAATTAAATACTCGAATGGATATCTGAATTGAGAGTTGAGGAGTTTGGCTCGATTTTTTGTTTTAGATCAAAAACCGAAGAATTGAATATTCTTTTTTTTTAATTAATTTATTTTAAATAAATCAAATTATTATTTTTCTAAGTAATTTGCTGGTTAGTTAATTTTGCTCAAACCCAAATATATGTTTTTTTTTTTATTTCTAATTTTCAATCCAAGCCAACTTAATCAAATTGACATAAATTTTACCCAAATCTATTATTCTAATGTGTATCATTTCTATCGTCCTAAAGAAATCAAATTGAAACTCAACAATACCTTTTTTAATTATTGTGGCTCACTTTCTTCCTCTTTTTTTGATTTTAACAATCAAATCTATGAAAACCTTAGCACAAAGATAGAAAAGACACATAACATTGAACTAATTTATTTTGTAAGAGCTAATATGATCATGTCTTTAGTTAATTAATGTAATTTTGTAAATGTTAAAAAATTTAACTATAGTACGAAATTCAAGAACTGATTGGAATCAAACCTAAATGGTTCCATAATTAAATTTGGACCCCCGACGGTTTCACTTGCTAAATAACCGAAAAATTCGAATTCAATTAAATTTCCAGTTAGAACTGAATTGAACCGAACCGAACCGGATCATTCTAACCCTACTAAAAAATTTGGAATTCTTGAATAATTCAAATAATTAAAAAAAAAAATCACATGGTGAATATGTTGCATCAATTTTTACACCACCACAATAATTGTGACCAGTGCTCCTGTAATAAATTTTCTAATAATTATAACTGATATACTATAATTATAATTTCAATTATTTTCGTAATTCTATTTTTCCGTATTATGTTAAGCCCTAAAAGAGGTGTATTCAATTAAGACTTTTAATTGCTTTCCGAGATTTAAAAAATTTAGGGACATTTAATGTAAACTTTTTAGATTCTCTAAAAGTATTGGTGTATTCAATTAAAATTTTTATAGACTTAAAAAAAGTCTCAAAAAGTCACAATGTATTCAATTAAAACTTTTTAGACGTCTCCATAAGTCTTGGGGTATTCAAATTTTAATGAATTTTAGAGACTTAAAACTTTTATAAAAGTCTCTTGGACACAAACTTTAAAACAAAAAGTATTCATATAAAATCTCAAATTTTGTCTCTCATTAATTATAAGATTTTTTGAGACTCTCCAAAAAT